TGTGTGTGTGTGTGTGTGTATAATATATATATATATATATATATATCATATATATTATATATATATATATATATTATATAATATATATATATATATATATATATATATGTATATTCATTGTGTGCGTGCCTTTGAGGTATCCGATTAGGGTTTTATTCCTGTACGGTGATTCACTTACTATACACGAGGAATGGCATGGTACCATGTGTCATGCAGTAAGGTGACAATGTTCTCGGCCTGCAACCACATAAACACATCCTTACACAGCGAAGTAACGGTGTAATATCTTGTGTTCGAAACTGATGCGGAGGAATGTGGGAACGTACCGCCATTGTGGCACTATGTAGTTTATATCATACCAGGCATATTCTGTGCATTGCTTATTCCGTGTTGACTTGTTTGGCGTATGCTTGTCTGGCGTGTTTCCGTCTATCATTCAGTACCTGTCTAGGCAACGTGTGAGAGGCTCGCAAACAGGACCCCAGATATCGATCGACAGAGTGCAGGGTAGCCTCGACTAACTCGATGCAAATTGACGAATACAGCAGCGCCACAGAGCAACGCACATCGGAAATCGGTAATTATGCGCCGACTCCTGATAGCATCCACCACATGACGGTCACTGTGCATTGGCATATTCAGACTAGCCCTGCACGCCAAACAATTTGGCGTGTGGGATACACATTGCCTCACGACGCAGAACATTTGCAAGAACGCACTATGCACCTGTGCATGTCGATAGCGTTCACACCGGCGGGTGTGAGAATCATGGCGCAACCGAAAGATTCGTTTGAATCCGACAGCCAAAAGGAGTTAAAGTAGGGGAGCAGAATTACCATTTTTCTGAATTGTAGCCCCAGAGAAGACCCTGCGCAACGCGCCAAAATGACCCTTTCCGACTGCCCTAGGACGCATTGAAACAGCCCCTATATCATTATATGGTGCCCTACATTCGTAGTACGGACTCGTAAGTTAGGAAGATCACAGTGTTGAACGAGCCCACGCGCAGATAGTTGGCCGATAGTCCTTTGTAGAACGCCGACACACCTTCCTGACGCAGAATCTGTAAAGAGCACCAGGTTGGAGACGTTAATGTTGAACCACTGTGCAGATAGGAACGGACACTCGTTTGGTATGTTCTCGTAGGCACAATACATTGGTTGTGCGCATAGAAGTATCACATCGAGCGTGAGGGATTGGTTATGATATGTTATGCCATTGGTGAATGCGATTCATACCTGTTTATCGTGCACTTGGCGATACGAACCGCGCCAATGATCCTGCATACGCGATTATATAACTTTCTACTGGCTGCGCATATTTAAATGCGTCAGAGTTCATTTTTAACAATATATGCGTATGTGTTTTCAGATAGGATAAGATACACAGACGAGTGGTATGTTGCAGAGGATATAACTCCAAGGGCAGATGATTATTCACATACAATATCGGAATTGGAAATTGATAACAGACTCGCTACATGCAGCTAAATATACTTTTTCCTCCCGCCCATAATTTGGCTTGTGTGTATGCATATTCATCGGCCACTCTTATGCCAACCAACCAACAACAGTACTACCATACAGTGAGACATAAAGATAGTGTGACAATAGAATTCAAGCTATGACAAGAGTATTAGAACGATACATGCAAATACTTGCTATACTGTACTGCTAGAAATATTTCGCATTCTCACTAATACATAAGATGAGCCCTACGTCTCGGTAAATGCTTATGCCTACCTTCATGAAACAGTCCACCGCATTCCGATATAAGGGTTGACCCTTAGCATCCACCTGCTTACTCATTATTCGTACTTTGATCACATCCAATGGACTTCCCACTACCGTTGACACCGCACCTGCTCCCAGACCACACGCCTGAGCAAACAAGTGAGACAGCAAATTAATTTATGCATAATCGTCGGGCGATGACAGTATAAACAAGCTTGAAG